TATATATATATATATACATATACATATACATATACATATATATATATACATATATAATAATTCCAAAATAGAGATTATAGATATTTGCAAATGTGAATGGACGCATGTAGGAACAGTTCCTTCACAGATTGTGCTTTGATTATTTTGTATGAATCCAAGTAACATAGTGCCCACAATTAAATATTTTATGTGATTAAATATCTATTATGATGAATTTTTTGTTGTCATTTGGCACTTGAGCTTCTACATCATGTTGGAGTTTTGGAGGTCAGTTTTATGCTTTCCATTTAAATCTTCCATCACAATGGAGCCTTTACAATCAATAAACTAGTCAATGCCTTTTGAGTGTTAGGCGAAACACAGCCACATGTTTTCAAAACCACAAGAAGATGAGCCTTTGAATAATATTTCTACAAGCCTTTAATGATAACCTTGAGCAATACTGGTACCTGCTACATAATATCTATTGATTCTATCCAGCATGATTTCCTTGAGTAGCTCGGTTGAAATGACTTGTGTGTTTGGAACTAAGCATTTCAAACAGACTGCTGTATACCTCTGCGGCAATCAATCAGCCTTAATCCAAAACCAATTTACTCCGCCTGAAGAGGAAAATATCTTTTAATCTCTTGCCGACAATCCCTGATTGCAGTGCTGAGCATCAGTTGACAGTAAAATGGAGGCTCGCTTGTGATGAAGCCTCTAGTTTATGTACTACACAAAACAGTCTTTAACAAGACTTGTTGTATACACACTATAGCCAAAGAGATGCTGTAAATTGCAGTATAATTGTCTTTGGAGTTTATTCTGCACAGAAGCAGTGCAGTTATTGGTGCATATGTGTTAGGTTCAGGTATTTTTTCTGTTAAGTTCAAGGTTTATCTTTGAAAGCTCAAATAAATATTTTATTTCGAGCACAACCACTAGTGCAAATTGAACAAAACAAAAAAAAAACAATATTTCCAACTCCCACACACGTCCGTTTTGTCACTGCCGTAAATTTAAATTGCACTCTCTTAAATATTCATATCACTTATCACCAAGCTATCTGTCATGCCTATAGCTCAAGTCTTCAATTTCAGTATTTATTGCAAGAGTAGATTTATATTTCACTTTTAAATCTAATTGAAATTAATCCCGACTAATTACAACTATGAGAGCGCTGAACCTCACATTTTATTTATTGCCATTCGTTGACGGTAAACTGTCAGATCTTCACTTATACTGAATGTGGCAACGAGTAGTTTGTATTCATACTGAAATTGATTGTTGTATCAACGCTTAAAATAATGCAAAACCGAGTCTACGGTGCAATTTGTCCCCTTTTGACCCATCAAAAGTGTCTTAATCACGTCTGCTTTGTCTTGATTGCAAATAAAAGGCATCAAAATATGCAAGCAACTTTGTCTCTCTGACAAATGACTCCAGAGGCCCAGGAACAAAACCAGACATCTCGTTGTAAAGTTTTGGTGCTGCTGATGCTGTTTT